TTTTAGAAAACCACAAAATTCCATTATAATTTCATTAAATAAGTTTAAAGGGGAAATTATGTAGACATAGAACCTCATTGAATTCAAATTGATATGATTTATTGATTGTAAAACAAACTTATCACCGTACAATCAAATTATCATCAAAATCTTTTTTTATTCTTTTTTTTTTTTTTTTTTTTAAATTATCTCTTGGAATTACGATCATTCCTGCGTAAAATTATATCATTTTATGTTATATTAATATCTTGAATAACACTCAAAATCTATAAATTACACAATTATTATTACAGCCGTTATTCTGAAAGCACCAATTTTGTAATTAAAATTTGGATCATAACATATACATCACTAATGGAATTAGATGAAAATTTTGAAATTCCACAAAAATTTTCACACAATTTTATTACATTTATAATGCATAAAAAATGGTAAATAAGAAAATTATAATAAAAAAAAGAGATAGCTGACAAGATCAAGTATAAAATATAAATGAAAATAATAATATTATAAGGGAAAATAAACAAATATGACAATAAACGATTTATTGTTGAGGATAAATAATAAAAAAAAAAATGCTTTTAAGACCGGTTTTTATGATTGAAGTTGGTCTATATATGTATACCTCACGTAAAGAAAAACTTATTTGTTATTCTCCTCCTCCACTAACCAATAATATATGTTCTTATATTTAATTGACAAACAAAAGATGAAAATATTGCAAATTATTTTTTTATAAAATATTTAAAAAAAATTATTTATTTTACAAAAAAAAAATGTTTATAGATTAAAGAGGAATTTGAGTTTTAGGAGAAAAAACCGTTGAGTCATTATCGTTTTTTAAGTAGAGAAAAATATTTCTGGTCAGACAAAATTAAAAACCTTTTAGTGAAAAATGTTGACGAGAAAAACGAAAATAGTTTTCAAAGTGGAAAAAGTAAGACAAATTATTTTTTAAGTGGAAAAAACTTTTTTTGAGTCAGACAAAAAAAAATTTTTTAGGTAGAAAGAATTATTGGCTCTAGAAAAAAATTATCTATTAGTAAAAAAAAATTGTAGAGTCGGAAAAGAATAGTATTTTCAGTAGTATAAGTCATACAGTCAGACAAATAATTTGTTAAGTGAAAAATTTTCATATTTTAAGTGCAAAAAAAACTTTTATTGTCAGACAAAAATCATGTTTTTGCTATTAAAAATAAATTGTTGAGTCACAAAAAAAATTATTTCTCAAGTAGAAAAAAATTGAAGAGTCAGACAAGAATTTTTGTTTAAGTAGAAAAAGTCAGAAAAGTCAGACAACTCACTTTCCAAGTGGAAAATATTTTCCTTGTCATACAAAAATTCCTTTTTTGAGTTAGAAAAAAAATTATCTATCGAGTAGAAAAATATTAAAAAGTCAGACAAGAATTTTTGTTTAAGTAGAAAATATTTTCTTTGTCAGACAAAAAATTCTTTTTTACTTAGGAAATGTTGTTGAGTCAAAAAAAAATTATTTCTCCAGTAGAAAAAAATTGTAGAGTCAGACAAGAATATTCTTTTAAGTAGAAAATATTTTCTTTGTCAGACAAAAAATTCTTTTTTACTTAGGAAATGTTGTTGAGTCAAAAAAAAAATTATTTTTCAAGTAGAAAAAAATTGCAGAGTAAGACAAGAATTTTTGTTTAAGTAGAAAAAGTCAGAAAAGTCAGACAACTCACTTTCCAAGTGGAAAATATTTTCCTTGTCAGAAAAAAATTCCTTTTTTGAGTTAGAAAAAAAATTATCTATCTAGTAGAAAAATATTTAAAAGTCAGACAAGATTATTGTTTTAAGTAGAAAATATTTTCTTTGTCAGACAAAAAATTCTTTTTTACTTGGGAAATGTTGTTGAGTAAAAAAAAAATTATTTCTCAAGTAGAAAAAAATTGTAGAGTCAGACAAGAATCTTTGTTTAAGTAGAAAAAGTCAGAAAAGTCAGACAACTCACTTTCCAAGTGGAAAATATTTTCCTTGTCAGAAAAAAATTCCTTTTTTGAGTTAGAAAAAAAATTATCTATCGAGTTTGAGAAATATTAAAAAGTCAGATAAGAATATTCTTTTAAGTAGAAAATATTTTCTTTGGCAGAAAAAAAATTCTTTTTTACTTAGGAAATGTTGTTGAGTCAAAAAAAAATTATTTCTCAAGTAGAAAAAAAATTGTAGAGTCAGACAAGAATTTTTGTTTAAGTAGAAAAAGTCATAAAAGTCAAGACAAGTCATTTTCCAAGTGAAAAATCCTTTTTTTTGTCAGACCGAAAATACCTAAATAAAAATTTTCTCTTTCGTAAGAAATTTCGAAAACCTTGTCAGAAACAAAACGATTGATTATCATAATAATAATACAAATTTAATTATAGTGATGAGTATTAATTAATTAATGAAATGTAATTATTTGTTCATTTGTCATTAGATTGATTTCATTGTCTAATGACATCCTGTATTATAAATATACATATATATAGATATTGAAATTTGTCATCACTGTTTCATAATTAAGCAGAGAAAATATAATCGCGATTCTATGAATTACTGGCATAGACATATAACTCAGGTGTTTATTGCTGGAGGAAGAGAAAGTTTTCGCGCGACTCTTACCTTGTTATTATTTAACTATATATATTCTTGACCCGAACTCGTCAAAGTCAAATAATTTCTGATAAGATAAAATGTATAATCTCATTTCACGTAATAATGGAAATGTAGTCGGTAATAAATTTTTCTTAATAAAAAAAATTAAACTCTGGGTCAATGATCCATATATATAATTTATAAATGATCGGCAAAATTTTAATGAGAAATTTTTGAAACAAGTAAATGCAACAACTATATTCTAAAATGAGACGCAAATCCAATGAACCGAATAGAATTATACTGAGAAATTTAATGTTTCATTACGTTCACGACTATTTGAAGGCGTAAGAAAAATTTTCCACCCACTGGAAATATATAAATATATATGTTTAATATTTCGTATATTGTCACAACGTCGATAAAATTGAAATTTAATATCCATATAAAGTGACATATACTAGATTGTGTATTATATATATATTATTGCAGGCAATATTTTTTGTAAAAGCGAAAAATTTCGTTGAAATTGGAAAATAATTTTTTTTTTATATTTAAAACTTTTTGGCTTGACTTTGGTTGCAATGTCAACACGTTTACTTTCAACAATTTCACGCTTGACCGTCATGTTTAAATGTCACTTGTGTTCTACGCATTTAGAAACCGAAAAAATATTAAAAGACACCTTTTACGTTTTGATTTGATTTTACTAATTTCTTATCGGTGGGTTTTTATCCTATAAGAAATTTAATAAAACCAGTAAAATCGTTTTTCTAGTGGATCAACTTAAATATTTAATTGAAAATTATTTTTACTATTATTTCGTTTTTGCACGTGTGACAAATATTTTTCATTGCCACGTTCAATAAAGTTGTAAATTTTATTTTTATAATTTGAAAAGTGGATCTTGACTTGAAAAACTAGAAATGTAAGTTTAATGGAATTATAAAATTTGTAATTTAAAAATTTAGATATTTTAACGATGATACAAATGATTAGAGAAAAAAAAATGTTTTAATTTTTGAAAAAAAAAATAGAATATCATAGAAGAAAATTGTTACGCTATAAAAATTTCCTTTTTCCTTTAGGCGAATAGTGGAAAATGTGAGGAATATTATATTCTGACAGCCTTGACGTGAGAAACTCGAGCCGAGGAGAAAAATCGAGATTGAATTCTCTCGGCTAGAATTGCCAGTACTTTCTTGAAAAATTGAACGACTTCTCATTTACTGTGACTTAAAATTTTATTGAATATTGTTGGAATTTTTTTTTTTATTTTGCATTGTTAAAGTTTCTTCAACTATTTTCAGAGAAAAAAAAATATTGAGATACGATGATATGAAAACAGAATTTAAAGTATTTTCTTTTAAATAAAGAATTTTTTTTATATAACAAATTAAATTATTAAAATAATTTTTTTAAAATTAAATTAAACAAAAAATGAAATTAAAATTTTCAAAATAAAAATAAAATATAGAATTTTTAAAAGTACTGGAAATAAATCTATTACTAATTGACAAAAAAGAAAAAAAAATTTGTGTAGTAGAAATTTAAGTAGAATTAAATAGAAATTTTAAGTAGAAAATATTGATTTTGTAAGACGAAAATTGGTAATTAAGTAGAAAAAAAATCGTTGCGTCAGACGCAAGAAAAAAAAACTAGTTTCGAGAGACAAGGAATTTCCTGTCAGTAGAAAAAAAATTAATGAGTCAGACAAGAATTACTTTTTAAGTAGAAAAAAGTCGTAGAGTCAGACAAGTCATTGTTTAAATACAGAAAATATTTTTATCTGACTCGAAAACTTATTCCACTTAATGCTATACATAATAGTAGGACTAAAAATTCGTTTTCTACTTAAAAAGAGAAATTTTGTCTGACAACTTACAGTTTTTTCTACTTAATCTTTTTCATTTATTTGACAAAACTATTTTTGTACCAAAAAAATTGATTTTTCGTTTAACAAATTTTCTTCACTAAAAGAAGTTTTAAGAAACTTTTTTTTCACTAGAAAAAGCAGTCAGAAAAAATCTGTTTTTAATAGAAAAAATTATCGTTTAGAAAAATTTTTTTATCACTAAACAAAATCAAAAAATTATTCAAAAATGCATAAAAAAAGTAGTTTTGTATGCCAAAATCTATTATTGAGGTTCCACTGTATAAAAATGTTTTAATAACGTATAATATGATAAAGTTCATCAATAACTTTTATTTATTTCAAATGTCTCAAAAGAGTCATTTTGCAGAATAAATCATCAGTTGAAATGAATTTTTTTTTCTTTTTTTTTTCGTCAATCCATAATTCGAATAAATAATTAATATAATGAGACATGTATAATAACGAATGATAATCAAGTAAACGTGGGAAATAGTTTACGATTGCGGGCAAATAATATACAAATCCTGAACTCTATATCGATGACGAAGACGAAGTATACGATTAACTCGTAAGGAGTGTGGGTCTCTCATGCAGCGAAAGTGCAGGTATATATTGCAGGTGATAGTCTCAATGCAGTCTCAGTGTAAAATCCCGCAGACTAGCATGAGCATCCCACAGGTGAGCTCTCGTCGTTTTTTTTGAGAGGATGTTTAATTACAATTTCGCGATGGATGAGGGGGAAAAAAGGATGGAAGCGATAAAAAAAACGCGCGAGAAACAAAATCATTGAAAAATCAAAAAAAACCTTTGAAATTCTCTAAAATTTTGAGGACCGAAAATTTTTTTTTTCTTTATTAAATAAACTTAAAATATTGTCATCGAATTGTGCCATCGAAATTACAGTGCAAGTGTTAATTAATTTTTGAAAAAATTAAAATATGTAAAATCACTTTTAAGTGAAAAAAAATTAAAAACCATACAAATAATTTTTGGAAAAAAAAACAGTGATTCGCGTTTGAAAAATAGAAAAATTAAAAAAGGAAAAACAGTAGAAATTGAAAAAACGATTAAAAAAAATTTAATGTAAATAACAATAAAATGAGAAACAAATATTATAATAAAAATTAATTTTTTTTTGTGAAATTCAGAGAATTTTCTTTTAGTGATATAAGATATAATTTTCTTCTAAGATTTAATTACATTGTGATTTTAGATATATATATATATTTCGTTTGATAAGAGAAAAAAGTGAATTGTTCTTTTTTTTTTTTTTGTTTTTCATTGTATTAGTAGTGTTAAAAAAAAAAAGTCATAAGTGATTTGTTAGGAAATGTGCGATTGTCCAGTATTTAATGGTGTCATAAAAATTGTTATTAAATTCGAAAGTACTTTTGCACTGTAATTTCAGATACTTATTTCGTGATTAGTGGTCTCTCTCACCTGACTCGTTTTTTTTAACCAACGTTTATCAAAAGAAAGTATAACAATAGATAAAATAAGTCAAAATTTTCCTATTAAAAAGTAATTTTTTTTCTCATTATTATTATTATGAATATTAATATTATTATTATTATTATTATTATTATTAAAATTATTACTATTATAAATAAATAAATATTAAAACAATAATTATTACTATTCAATTTTTAGTAAAAGAAATGCGTGATTTAAAAATAATTTTTCCTTTTTTTACGGGTAAAAATAAGTTAATTTAGTAAAATAATTATTTGCAATAAATATAAAAAAAAAACAATGTTAAATTTTTAATTTCAAAATCATTTTTTGGAAATGTAATAAAATTTTTATCTAAATGGATATTGATTTTAAAAAAAATATATGTATATTTATTAACAAAATATTCAATTATCCTAAGATTAATAAATTTTTTATTTCATACAAATAAATTATTAGGCTAAGAGAGAAAAATATTTTTTTTTCAAATATAAAAGCTAGAAAAAAATTTCTGTAAGTGTAAAACTAAATTCTTTTTTTAATAATAAATAAGAATTAATAATTAATAAATAATAATAATAATAATAATAATAATAATAATAATAATAATAATATAAATATATTTGTCTCAGTGCCTAATAAATTTTTATCAGTTGCAAATAAAAAATTTTAATTAAGGCCATGTTCAAGTCGTGTCAGCTGTTCCATTGAAACTTCAAAGGAACAGCTGACTCGACTTGGACCTGGCCTTAAGTGCACAAATAAAATTTTAAATTAGCACAAATAAAATTATATTTAGCGCAAATAAAATATATTTTAAATATTCATTTGTCTCTGAGATAAATATATAATTTTTTTGATCACGCCCCATTCTAATTCGTTAAAAATATTAATTTAGAAATATAGACTTTGTACTATCAATATTTTATTTATGTTTTCTTTTCTAAAAATAAAAAAATTAATTTTTTTTTCATAAATAATTAAATTTATAAAGAAATAATTAAAAAAAAATTGTTTCACAGAGAGTCGTCTTATTGGTGCTGTTAGCTACAGCGGTGGTGGCCACTGAAGTAAAAAAGGTCGATGACCTCAAAAATAAAAGAGGTTTGGATCATGGACTAGGTGATTTGGGTGGTCTTGGTGACATTGGCGGTCACGGTGACATTGGACTTGGTGGTTTAGGCGTTGGAGGTGGAATTGGAATTGGAGGAGGAATTGGAGGTGGAATTGGAGGAGGAATTGGAGGAGGAATTGGCGGTGGTGATGGTGGACGTATTTCAGGAATTACAATTCATCGTGAAGTTCCTGTACCAGTACCAGCACCATATACAGTAGAACGACAAATTCCTGTACCCTATCCAGTTCATGTTAAAGTACCTGTCGATAATCCAGTACCATATCATGTACCAAAACCATATGCCGTTCATGTTGAGAAAAAAGTACCCGTCAAAGTACCCGTCAAAATACCAGTTCATATTGAAAAAGAAATTCCCGTACCCGTCAAAGTTCCCTATATTGTCAAGGAATCGTATCCAGTTTATGTGAAAGCTCACGATCATCATCATGAATTAAATAGTGGATTGGGTGGATTAGGTGGTTTGTCAAGCTGGGGTGGTCATCATGATTTGGGACATCTTCATCTTGATGATTTACATCATTGAATACCCTTGCCAGGGACGTGCGCATTATTCATTAATTATTATTTGTAAATAATGACAAAAAAAAAAAAAAAGAACGAAACATTTGTACCATTTGAATGTATAAAGAATATTTACGTTTACGTATATAAATAAGCTGTGCGTATAAATTGTCAGACTGTATGCTGTATAAGTAAATTATTAATATTACTTTTTTTTTTGACGAGATTTTTTTTTTTCTAATAAAGTTGCAGTCCTTGTCCTTTTTTTCGATTATATGGTAAATCTCCTTTCTTTTTTCCTTTGTTTTCTGAATTTTCTTTATTCTTCCATGATTTACTTTTTTTTGGATTTGAGAAAATTTTGTAAGAATTGGTTTTTGGTAAAAGTGTCTTATGTCAAATATTAACTTGTTAGTGATGCAAGACCTGTTAATTTGGCTTAAATGTAGAATACACTTGAAAATACTAAGTAGCTAAGACGCCGAAGAGAACTGTTAAGATATATAAGCAGATTAACGTCAAAGGAAATGTGTTTAGTAAGGTTCAGAGGTCAAAAGGACTAAAGGAGGGGGCGTTTGCATCTCAGTTTAATGTTGTCACTTTAATTATCAGTTTCCGTCAACATTTCAAGTTTTACTGTCGTAATTTTCTGGACTAGAATTTAAAATTTACGAATTTAGAAACATTTTTTTTTTTAGAAAAAAATCTCAATTTTTTTTTTCCGCTATTAATTACGCAATTTTTATTTCAGTTTCATCACTATTTTTGTTTGTCCGTCCTTATTTATTTTTTTTTTATTATTTCTTTCTCAAACTATCTTTGCGCTTAAGCCCATCTATCCACCCTTTTAGTAGATAAACATCGGGATCAACGTAATACCGCAGCAAAGGAAGCACACGCAATCTCGTGGAGGCAATTTTACTCTTTACGAGCAAACATAAAGAAACTTCTGCACTTTTTTTTCTCTTTTTTTTGCTCAAGAGAAAAATTCAAGTAGATTAAAAATTCTACCGAGTATTCTATTTACAACGAAAAAAAAAAAAAATCTGTCACGAGTATTGGTAAATAAATTTTAAATTCAAATATACATTTTAACCTTCTTTTTCGAATTTGGGTTAAGAGACAACAAAAAGAAAAATGCAAAAAAAAAATTACTACATAAGCAAATAATTCACAATTTGCACCTGAAAGCATGTGAGGTTTTTTTTTTATCTAACACACACACTTATGGACAACGAAAAGCTTTCAGAAGGTTTCGAATAATATATTTTTGTGTCCCTTTTTGGAAATTTCAACATCAAATCTAAAAAAAAATTTCGAAATTCTGAGAAAAAGTTCTCGAATATTAAATTAAAAATTTAGTAATATATTTAATTATATTTATATATTTAATTTATAATGAAAATTAAAAATTAAAATTATACCATAATAAGAAATTAAAATTGAGGAATGTTAAATTTAATCAAAAATTTGCTTTTATAGAGTAAAATATACGAGGAATAAATTATGTCGTTTAAATCACTAAAATCAGCATTTAGTGATTTATACATCTATATGACAGCACTGTATATATATATATGTAGAAAGAGAGAATTTCTCGAATACCGGAACTTTTGCAACGCGCGGATTGACTGAAACATGTATGCCTAGTCGATTTTACAGGAATTAATTAGTCATGCTGAACTGACTGCAAAATAATGAAAAAAAAAACAAAATGCAAAAAAAAAAGTTTGGCATGTTAATTGCTGTTGCATAAATTCTTCTACTTTGATTAACAAATTATTTATAATCAATGATACAACAAAAGCCTTGTTGTACATTAAAAATTTCATTTAAAAAAAAAACGCGCTAGATTTTTTTTTTTTTAAATCAAAGTTTCAAGAATTTATTTATTAATTTTACAACTAAATACTAAAGCAAATTTTTTTTTATTTTGTTCAATTATTAAATAATAATAATAATAATAATAATAATAATAATAATAATAATAATAATAATAGAAATAATCAAAATAAATGTTAAAAAATAATATAAAAATGACAAGGATATTATTTTGAGGTGAGAATATTTCCTTTGCGTGTTTCGATTTTCCGCGTTATTAAAAAGAAATGGAGAAATGTTCGCTCAATGTAATTCTCTCAAACGGACAGAGAGGTCATCGTTTTCCCTCTTTTCCCCCTCTCCTCCCCCCTTAATACAACCCCGTCAAAATAGGTAACCTGTGTGTAATGAAATACCATCCCACGAAATGGTTCCTGTCCAATCGTAACAGTTCCTAGTCGATACACATTTCAATATATCGACCACATGGCATGTACACACTGCACATCGCGAAATATATATATATATCCCTTCAGAACCAGGAAAAGCAATATGCCTGTTAATACCACAAATAGTCTAGATTGATACATCCTGAAGTATGTATGTATATTCAGTTCAATATTATTCCCCCCCCCCTTATATATATATATAAAATCCAACTATTTTGTAAAATTTTCAATCTTACTTCTGCAACGCTAAGCGAATTGTCCTGTAGGTGAATTATTTTTCATTTCTCTTTTTTGAAAATTAATTTTTACTATTTTTTAGGGGGGGGGGAATTGAATTTTCACTTTTGAAATTCTTTATAATCCTCTTAATATTAGAAGATTTTATTGAAGAGTACAGGAGAAAAGGAAAAATTTTGTCTGACTAAAAATGAATTATTCTACTTATACTGAATTTAAACCTTCGTTTTGCTAATGATTCAAAAATTATACTTTACAAATACGTCTGGCCTGAATTACCTTTTTCTACTGAAAAAAAATTTTGGACTAAAAATCACTCTTTCCACTGATACTTAAAGGATACATTCTGTCTTAGAAAAACCGACTTCAGCTACTGATTAGCGCAAATTAAACAAATTTAATACCACTTGACCTAAAATTTCTCTAACTACTGAAAAAGCGTTCAAAGTTTTTTTTTAAATCTTGATTGACTAAAAATAAATTTTAACTGATGAAAGGAATTTAAAGAATTATGTCTGATTAAAATCGACTGTTACTACTTGTTTTATAAAATATACAGAACTATAAATTTGAGTCTGACTCAAACTATCCTTCACTACTGGTAAATAAACTAAAAAATTTAATTGTCTGACGAAAACTGACATTTGCTACTGATTAAAAAATTCCTTAGAAATTCAAATAAAATTAATCAGCATGTCTCTATTATTTCCTAACCTTAAAACAACACGTAATACCTTCAAACAAACCAACCAATTGAACCTAACTTGCAGTAGACTAAGAATAATCAATTTTATTCCATTTCTTTGAATAGAATGTTTTCCTGGAAAATGAAAAAATTCCTTTCAAATTCAAATAAAATTAATCAGCATGTCTCTATTATTTTCTAACCTTTTGTACCTTTAAAATACCTTCAAAAAAACCTACCAAATGAACCTAAATTGCAGTAGACTAAGAATAATCAATTTTATTCCATTTTTTTGAATAGAATGTTTTCCTGGAAAATGAAAAAATTCCTTAAAAATTCAAATAAAATTAATCAGCATGTCTCTATTATTTTTTTTACCTTAAAACAACACGTAATACCTTCAAAAAAACCTACCAAATGAACCTAAATTGCAGTAGACTAAGAATAATCAATTTTATTCCATTTTTTTGAATAGAATGTTTTCCTGGAAAATGAAAAAATTCCTTACAAATTCAATTAAAATTATTTAGCATGTCCCGATTTTTTTTTACCTTTTGTACCTTTAAAATACCTTCAAAAAAACCTACTAATTGAACCTAAATTGCAGTAGACTAAGAATAATCAATTTTATTCCATTTTTTTGAATAGAATGTTTTCCTGGAAAATGAAAAAATTCCTTAAAAATTCAAATAAAATTAATCAGCATGTCTCTATTATTTTTTTTACCTTAAAACAACACGTAATACCTTCAAAAAAACCTACCAATTGAACCTAAATTGCAGTAGACTAAGAATAATCAATTTTATTTTATTTTTTTGAATAGAATGTTTTCCTGGAAAATGAAAAAATTCCTTAAAAATTTAATTAAAATTAATTAGCATGTCTCTATTATTTTTTTACCTTAAAACAACACGTAATACCTTTAAAAAAACCTACCAATTGAACTTAAATTGCAATAGAATAAGAATAATAATCAATTTTTTTCACTTTTTTAAGATAGAATGTTTTCCTGGAAAATGAAATGTTTTCCTGATAAAATCCCTTACAAAGTCAAATAAAATTAAATAGCATGTCTCTATTATTTTTTTACCTTAAAACAAAACGTATTACCTTCATGAAAACCTACCAATTGAACTTTAATTGCAATATGTATGTAATGTTTATTATAAAGAAATTTTAAAGGAACTAATTGCGAAATTTGGAAACACAATTATACAACTTTGGCAAAAAATGAGAAAAATAATTTTCAAAATGTCACACAAATTTGACACGTCATAACATTACAATTCAAAAAACACGTGAAATCAGTAAACACGAACTTCAAGTTAGGACAGAAGGACAGACCAACCATTTTATTAGTATATAATTATTATTTCCAATTTTATCGAAAAAATTGGTCATTTTTCGAATTTATATTTCCAAAAATGATTTTATCGAAAAAATTGATTATTGATTGATAAATATATTTTAACTTTTGTCTAAAAGAAAAAAGAAGTATTTTCTCATCATACAAATCATATCGAGTTTGAAAGTTTACAAAGAATTTCTTTTTCACTCAACATATCTTTGTAAACTATGATGAAGGAAAGAATTTCGATTTTCAGTTGTTAACTTACTAAAGCCATAAGTTAGAAATAACGCACAGTATTTCTGTTATATATATATATATATATATAGTGAGAGAGAAAATAAGAGAGAGGAGGAGGGGGGGGAAGAAGTGCTGTCAACGATGTCACTTCTAGAGAAAGTTATTTGACTCCGTTGGCCAATAGAAGTTTTACAAGGATCCTTGGACAACCACCTCGATCGTCCATTTCCTCTATTTCCGGTACATATATCGGCTTCCTGTAAAATCACTTTGAAAATTGCTTCAATGTGACCAGTAGAGGTAACCGGACAAACTCAGCCAATTTTTCTCATCCAGAAAAAAAACCCCCGATTTATATCACCTATAAAATTTAACAACTAAAATGATTGAATTTATAAATATTATATTTAACATCGAGAAATTAAAAAAGAGATAAAAAAAATTGATAACACAGAAAATTAAAAGGCATTAAAATAAGCTGCAACTATTATTTT